AGCATTTAATAAGCCATTATCAGGTGATGAATTGACATACTCGTTCACTAAATGGTCACACAAGCCAATGAAACGTGTTAAAATATTCGGGTTACCATCGAATTCAGGCACCATTCGAAGGGCCTTCCATATGTTGTCTAAATCTGCCATAATTAAATTAAATTTATCTCCTATAATAAAATTACTGCTTGATGAAAAAGATTTTTCACTGCTAGTGTCACTATCACTAAAATTTAAATTCCTATTTAAATCTATATCTTTATATCTACGGGTCCTCGATTGCCTCGATTGGAAAATCTTGGAAAATTAAATTACACAGGATCTAAAAAAAATGACACAGGAATATAGATAGGAAAGCAACTCTAGATCGATTCTAGTGGTACTTACATGAGCATTCTTTAGTTGTCTCTGCAGTATCGATGTCTGGATACCCCCTCGTCTGTAGCTTCTTAGGTTCAGAATCGCCGCCGCCAGATGCTTGATTCACTGACTCTACTTTACAGCGATCCTACCGACTGCGCCAGATAAAAAGTCTACAGCCGAAGAGCGCAAAAAAACCAAAAAATATTATATATTAAATTTAATTGAAATATAAAAATTACAATTTAACTTATTAACTATTATAGATGCCAATTGGTCGATGTTAGAACCAAGAGTGATTCAACTCCGATAGCGTTCTTTGGTCGATTTCAACATTTCAGTTTTGCTGACTCGACGGCACGTTTCGGCGCATGGTACGATGCGCCGTATTGAGGCCGCTGCCTATACAGCGTTTTCAATGTTTCATGATTTCGTAACGAGCTTAACTTGGGTCTAGATGGCGCTGTGTGAATTGTCCTGAGATTATTATTATTATTTTGGTGTGAGTGAACAAAAGTACGTCAGATCAATCGAATAGATTTTTAAAGTCTGTACGTTACGTTGTGTATTTAAATTGGATGGGTGTGCGCTCCAATCAGAACGCTCCCTTTTGTGATACGTTTTGTTGCTGCTTGTACGCGACATTGGTATTGAAAAATATCAATATACTATTGACGGCCCCGGTGGTCTAGCGGTATAAGATACCGCTTTCCATACATATGTATTTATAAACAATATATCTTCTTATATATAAAATTCTCGTGTTTTCATTTCAATATACAAACAGATACTCCAATTTTATTTAAATACTAGCTGTTCCCGCGACTTCGTTCGCGTGGATATAAATTTATTTTTCTAAAAGAAAAGATTTTTTAAAGGCCTAGCCTAAGTCACTCCTTCTTACATCAGCTACCTGTCAAAAAAGTCCCGTCAAAATCGGTCCAGCCATTTCAGAGATTAGCCGGAACAAACAGACCGACAGACAGACAGGCAAAAATTGTAAAAAATGTTATTTTGGTGTATGTATCGTATTTATATTCATATGCATGTAGTAAAAAACGGTTATTTCAATATTACAAACAGACACTCCAATTTTATTTATATGTATAGATTATATAGATATATATGTAACAATCTGATATTGATCTGTTCGCGAAAGTTTCCGTCGTAATCATAAACGACCAAGAAATAGCTACAAGCGTACACAAAACATATATCAAGTTTATAGCTCAACTCAATTTTTACGAGATTGCAATTTATTCGTGTGTTAACTGCCTAGTGGGAGTGCTTCCGATTTCACTGGATAATGCAGTTTCAAGGACCACTCCGCAATTCTCATGTAGTTTTACATCTATTTTTAGATAAAAATGGAGTAGACAGTATGCTTGAAGAGTTTTATGAACAGCTTTGATGGAAACAACTGTATTATTTCATATGCGGCGATACCCCAAAATTAAAACTATGATAAGTAGATAAACTTATATATTTTTTGTGAATTATAATCATTACATAGTATAAAACAAAGTCGCTATCGCTGTCTGTCCGTGCCTATGTAATATTTTTAAAACTACGGCACGGATTTTGAAGCGGTTTTTTTTATAGATAGAGTGATTCAAGAGGATATATATAAAGAAATTCTTTATAATAATATAATTAAAAATTTCAACAATTTCAACAAGCAAGGAGTGTCAAAGGGAGCTGTCAATAGAAATAACATAAAAATGGATCGTGCAAAAACAAGTGTGCGTGAATAAGGTTATATAAAATATATTATAAAAAGACAGTAATAGTTGAATAATAATTGTAATAAATATGTCGTTTCTTTGTTTACAGAGAAACAAATTGTAGTTTATTTTATAAAGAAACCCTGAAAATATCATTATATATATAATATATGGACACCCGTGCGAAAGCGGGGCGAGTAGCTGGTTATATCATAATTGAGGATAGATAGAGCCAAGGTTTTGGGTCGTCTTATGTTTAAATTTAACTATCTTTTTATGTACTCAGAACTTTTTCTATGCAAACCTATTTTGATATCTTAGTATCTTGATCAGCCTACTTCAAAAAAGAAGTACGTTAAATTTCGATTGAACTGTCTTTTTATGTACTCAGAACTTTTTCTATGTAAACCTATTTTGATATCTTAGTATCTTGATCAACCTACTTCAAAAAAGAGGTACGTTAAATTTCGATTTAACTGTCTTTTTATGTACGCAGAACTTTTTTATGTAAACCTATTTTGATATCTTAGTATCTTGATCAGCCTACTTCAAAAAAGAAGTAAGTTAAATTTCGATTGAACTGTCTTTTTATGTACGCAGAACTTTTTTATGTAAACCTATTTTGAAATCTTAGTATCTTGATCAACCTACTTCAAAAAAGAGGTACGTTAAATTTCGATTTAACTGTCTTTTTATGTACGTAAAACTTTTTTTTGTGTAAACCTATTTTGATATATTCATATTTTGATATCTTATTGATAATTCTTTTTTATTTGAATGCTGGTAATTCACGTATATTTCTTTATACATATATTATTAGATTATTGTGAATAGTAATTTTTGAGTTATATAGTTAGTTAGAGGACATGTTGGAAGGAGAAATAAAAGAGAGAGGAAGATGGTAAAGCATAGGATTAAATATTATCATACAGAGATATACCGGTCAAAATCAAATTTACTCTAATTCCCACAGATTAAACTATATGATACAAATCAAACCAAATCAAAATCATTTATGTAGGACATTTTAGCCTCTTTTGAATGTTATATATATATTTTTTAATTTTCCCATACCGTCCAGTTCAGTATACAGATACAATTGAGAAGAATACAGATAGTATCTATTTAGAAAATCATTAATACGTGCACTGCGTCTATCAAGTCTTACATAATATAAGGACGCAACCGTGTTGGTCCAGTGTTGATGAGTCATTTTTTCCTGTATATCGTTTATCCTGGTTATATTACGACACATGACCATTGTGGTTTGTATATGATCTATCACCTGTCTCATCTAAGTGTCTGATATTCAATACTTCTACCGTAGCTAGCTGTACTATCGATTTCATAGTAATAGAAATAGAAATAGAAATAATCTTTATACAAATAAACTCATTACAAGCACTTTTGAATAGTCATACTTTGATTCTACCACTCATTCGGAATGCAGATTCATCACAAGAAGAATGAGCAAGAAACTTGTGTGTTGCTCTTTTGAATAGGTGTTTCTTTTTTATATAATGTAACAAGTAAGAGGCATGCGATAATCAACATAGAAATCGCTACGCACTCATTATTAGTGTAAGATAATGTGTAAATAAAATTAATAGTGTAAATAAAAAAGATATGTGTAGATAATGTTGTCAGCGCTATGGATTTTAAGTTTTTCTTACATTTTTTCTAGTCATTAACTTGTCATAATAAATAATAAATAAATAACCCTAACCCTATAAATAACAATTAACACAGCGCCACCTAGTCCCACCATATCATATACATATCCCACCATAAGCAGTGCTTGTGTTATGGGTACTAGACAACTGATATAAATACTTAGATATTTTTAACTTTGTAAATACATACATAATATGCATAGAAAACACCCAGACCGATACAAACAATCATACTCATGAATACAAATGTTTGTGCCGCGCGCGGAATCGAACCCGCGACCATCGGCAGTAACGCGGTTTGCTCTACCGCTAGACCACCCAGGCCGTCAATGATATCCTGTTACAGTTAACACGTGTATGATTTTGTAGTACATCGAGACAAGGTTTTTTTTATGGATGCTAATGGAATGGTGCACCCGCCTGCGCTAACGGATTACGCTGGCGGGGCACCAGTGGAGGATGATAAGATGAGCATGAGGTCATGTCAGTTAGCAGTCAGTTAGCCCGACGTGACAAATTCACCAAGAATTTATCACGATGACTTCCAGGGGGAACTGCGTTGAGATCAACCTGACATGGTACATTGATCGTCAGTCCACATTACCTCCCAAACAAGTAGGTTGTTATATAGGTCCTATCCTAAATGTTACTAAAGTTTCGCTATAGCCATACTTTATGGATCAGCTAGCAATTGGCAGGCCAGGCGACGTACGTGAGTGCATTCCTGTACTAAATATCTACTAACTAGTGGTATTTGTATGCAACCTGCGTACGCCCGCCGTTGACCGCCCATTGTGCGATCTCTCACGAATTAACAACTACGTACTGTTAGAAATCTTCCACTGCTGTTCTTGAGACATGGAGACACAATTTGCTACTGCAGCAGTACCCACAAGTCACGTTAATAATTGTCCCACTATGCGAGCATTGCAACTATTAAACTTATTTTTGGGTAAGGTCCAAGATGCTGACGTACACATAGAAGCCTCTCTTTATATATATACTCCTTATTACATCACCTAACTGCCAATAAAAGTCCCGTCAAAATCGGTCCAGCCATTTCAGAGATTAGCCGAAACAAACAGACAGACAGACAAAAATTGTAAATAAAAATATTTTGGTGTATGTACCGTATTTATATTCATATGCATGTAGGAAAAAACGATTATTTCAATATTACAAACAGACACTCCAATTTTATTTATATCTATAATATACAGTTATGCAATATTCGTTGTTATAGAGCCCGCGGTGGATGTTCACGTGTACGATGGTATGTGGCGACGGTGGCGACGGTGGCGGCGACTGCCAGCGGTGCGTACCTGGCTGACGGTGACAGCGCTCACCGCCCTGCTACCACCATTCACCAGCGCTGACCTCATCTTTAGAGTACCTGAAGTCGTTGTAAGCATTGACTATGAGTTTTTTTATAACACAGGGGATAAACGATCATGCGGCTCACCTGATGGTAAGTGATTACCACCGCCCATGAGCACCCGCAACACCAGGGGAATTGCAAGTATGTTGTCGGCCTTTTAAAGCTCTTTTCTTGGAATGGTGCATCCGCCTGCGCTAACGGCTTACGCTGGCGGGGCACCAGTGGACAATGATAAGATGAGCATGAGGTCAGGTCAGTTAGTCCACGTGACAAATTCACTAAGAAATTATCACAATGGTTTTCCAGGGGGAACCGCATGGAGGTCTATCTGACGTGGAACATTGCTAGCAATATGATCATTAGTTTACATCACTAACAATGCCCTTTCCCGCCCATGAGGTCAGGTTAGTTAGCCCATCTTGGCAAAGGCAATTTACCTCAATGGTTTCCAAGGGGAACCACGTGGAGGTCAACCTGACACGACACTCTTAGTAGTTCCTATAACTAACATTGGCCTTCTCCCGTCAGTTATCCAGGGTTAAAACAAAACTGATGATTCTCAGAATTACCTATTACCCAGGTACAACATGCAGCCGCCTCCAAGCCAGTCGGGACTGGCAAGTCTAACAGTTCGAGGACGAACGACAGCCAGCAGTGGAGCCCTGAGGAGGGCGTGTACGAAGTCAGATACGAGGAGTACTATGTGGAACATGATGTGTCCACAGCGGACGCGAGGAAGGCCGCCAGTGCACTGAAACTCAAGGACGGTAAGTGGAAACGTACCATGTTTGATAAAATAACTAATGTTTGCGTGCCTATCAGATGTCGCAGCTTTTGCAAGACACCAACAAGTTTTTATATGTACATATGTGTGAAGAGGAGGTATCTAATGTGTCTGATGAGTAAGAGGTGCTGAGGGTTTTAATAAGGAGTATACGGAGATAAAATATAACAGCGATATCTAGATACGCGGGAGCGTGTCAAAGCCAAGTTCATGTAAGAGAACGGCGAGCAGTACCGTGTGTAGTTTTACACGACCCATTTGGAGCAGGGATGTTAGGGAGCTCCGTAACCGTAACCGAATCCGAAATAAGAGTTAGAGACACGTTATGTAACCATTTTATTAGCTATTTGTATTTTCCTTTTGAAATTCCTTAAAAAATTAACATCCGTAACCGAAATTATCCGAAACTAACTGATAATCCGAAATAATTTCATATCCGCATCCGTATCCGTATCCGGTATAATAATCATTACTATATCCGAAGCCTATCCGTATCCGAAATTTCATATCCATAACATCCCTGATTTGGAGCCACTTTTGACCCCCTCATAACTCAAAAACTCTTTCAAATAAACCTGTCAAATTTGGTACTACGTGGTTGGTCTGACTTGGCTAGTTTTCATATACGAGTTATACTATAGCCTTCGCAAGTTCTAAACCTGTTACTTGTTGATTCCTATTTTATTATTAGTAGTAACTAGCCAGCGAAAGTAATAATTGGTATATGAGAACTAGCCAAGTCAGACCTTAGGCTACAATATATTATCCTAAATTATAAGTAGAAATGATATTTATATTTTTATATATAAATTTCAGGACTGACCATTGAACTTGGCACCCATTTAGATCTCACTTATTTTGTCATTGAAGTCAACAATCAAGGCATATATCATAATATTCAACTTGGCTATCTGTATTAATCGTATTAGTCAATTATAAAACTGCGAAGATACCACCAACAAGTGTACAGGAGTGACATTTTGTTTTATTTCTAAACTAGCTGCTCCCACGACCTCGTCCGCGTGGAATTTAACCTTATTTTTCTAAAATAAAAGTAGCCTAAGTTACTCCTTATTACAGCAGCTGCCAAAAAAAGTCCCATCAAAATCGGCACAGCCGATCAGATTTCAGAGATTAGCCAAAACAAACAGACAGACAGACAAAAATTGTAAAAAATGTTATTTTGGTATTTATATTCATATGCATGTAGTAAAAAACGGTTATTTCAATATTACAAACAGACACTCCAATGTTATTTATATGTATAGATTATTCTAATTTATTTTATACCTCTAACCTTTTCTATGTTCCATTGTTCGTAGATTGTATGTTTGTGACGAACACAATTACTTGAGCCGTCGCCGCTAATTAAACTCTATTAATTCCCACAAATTGGGACGAGGTCTTTGCACGGAGCACCATGTTTCATGGGTATTTATGGCGTTAGACTCACTTCATTATGAAAAGGAAAGTGTTCATGCTCATCCATTATAAAGTGTCTAGTGATTTGATTTTGTACGTACTCGTAATCTAAATATTATTAGAAATTCTGCAGAATAGAATAGAATAGAAAATAATTTATTCAAATAAACTTACATTGAAGCACTTTTGAATAGTCATTACATTTTTTAATCTACCGCTCGTTCGGAAAGCTGTCTCATCACAAGAAGAACAAGCAAGAAACTTGCGTGTTGCTCTTTTAAATAATTTTATTATTACTTTACATTTTTAAGTTTAAGTGTGTGAATACAAACCACCAATTAGCACTAATTCAGCAGAAGAAGAAGAAGCCATTTTGTTGTTAGTTTTTCCCGCGCAAACGCAATGTGCCACAGATGCACAAACGTTGCACGGTGCACAGATGCAGTAGGATGACGAGCGCGTCATGGCAGTATGTGTGATGTTAACTCAATATGGACAGTCCTCTTAGTCACATTTGATGACGTCCTAGGAATTGATGTAAGTGGTGACACATTCTTATTGCTTCGCTATATCTATCTATATATATCTAAATATATATAACTCAAAGGTGACTGACGTAGTGATCTATCAACGCTCAGTCCAAACCACTGGACGGATCGGGCTGAAATTTGGCATGCAGGTAGATGTTATGACGTAGGCATCCGCTAAGAAAGGATTTTGATTAATTCTACCCCCAAGGGAATAAAATAGGGGATGAAAGTTTGTATGAAACTTTATCAATTTTAAACCGATCGGGCTGAGACTTTGCATGCATAAAGCTACTATGACGCAGGCGTCCCCTAAGAAAGGATTTTGATATATTCCACCCCTAAGGGGATAAATTAACGCGAGCGATGCCGCGGGAAAAAGTTAGTTACAATATTATATAAAATATTGTATAAAATACTAATAAAAATATATAATGTCTAAAGTGAATACAAAAAGAATATTTTTTGGTGGTGTCTCAGGCGTCCGTGGGCTACGGTAATCATTTAGCATCACACGGGCCGTATGCTTGTTTGCTACCATCGCAGTATAAAAAAACATACACAAACCACAGAACACGTTTTTAATAATCTCATAAATCTGTATGGTAACCAATTTAAGTGAATTAAAATATTTAATTTTTAACTATGAATAAATTTATTGTATACTAGCTGTTCTCGCGACTTCGTCTAAAAATGAAAATAATTTTTTTTTTCTACTATAAAATTAGCCTAAGTTATTACTTATTACATCAGTTACCTGCCAAAAAAAGTCCCGTCAAAATTGGTCCAGCCATTTCAGAGATTAGCCGGAACAAACAAACCGACAATCAGATAGACAAAAATTGTAAGAAGTGGTTTTTTTGTGTATGTACCATATTTATATTCATATGCATGTAGTAAAAAACGGTTATTTCAATATTACAAACAGACACTCCAATTTTTTTATATGCGTATAGATTGTTAAGAAAGTAATAAAAAGTAGTAAATAAAGTAATATATTTTTCTTTCTTTTCTTCACTAAGATGTTTGTTTACGGTGTTATATTGTCACTCTCTTGGTATACCTCATGTATAGCCTTCCTTAAGGATTACATTAATAATAATAGTTCAGGACAATCCACAAAGCGCCATCTAGTCCCAAACTACACAGAGCTTGTATAATCGGTACTAGACAACATCCAGACCGACACAAACAATCATACTCATGAATAAAAATGCACCGTGCGAGGAATCGAACCCGCGACCATCGAGAGTACAGTAGTGTGTTAAACTACTAGATCACCGAGGTCTTCTGTTGCGGGTGAATGATACTATGTTGTTTGAGAGACGATGTATATTACAGATGATAATAGACTGACAATATGTACATAGAAATAATGATCTTATATACTAAATAACAATAGGAAAATGTAAGGTGGGGTGACACAGTTTAGACACAGCAGTGCTTAGTACACAATATTGAATTTGCCTTACTAGACATTATTAAATGCAATTATTATTTTGATGTATCTAGGTAACTGTGTCCCATATCTTCTAATGGATGCCACTGTAAACTGGACACTATTTATAGCCGTGACAGTAACAATCGATTGTCATCCAACACTAGCAATTAGCAAATGATGGTTTACTGTTTGCGAACTTATTCGACTCCTCAAATATGCGAATATAAATTACATTCGCATGGGTGTACATGTATTATACACAAGCTGTACACGCGACTACGTCGTACGTAGCCTAAGTTACTCCTTATTACATTAGCTACCTGCCAACAAAAGTCTCGTCAAAATCAGTCCAGCCATTTCAGAGATTAGCCGGAACAAACAGTCGGACAGACAGACAGACAAAAATTGTAAAAAATGTTAGTTTGATGTATGTACCGTATTTATATTCATATGCGTGTAGTAAACAACGGCTATTTCAATATTACAAACAGACACTCCAATGTCATTTATATGTATAGATATATATATATAGAAACCCTAGTCTCGAATCACTCTATCTATTTAAAAAAACCGCTTCAAAATCCGTTGCGTAGTTTTAAAGATTTAAGCATACATAGTGACAGACAGCTACTACGACTTTGTTTTATACTATGTAATGATTTGTGGTAGAGAAACCTTAATCTAGAAGGATCAGAAAGCAATTTATTAAATTAATAAGATTAATCATAACTAGCTGGATCTGGAGCAAAACTAGTCTCTACTCTACTCTACTAATAGAGTATATACTCTACTAGCTTTTGTCCGCAACTTCGCACGCGTTAATCTATCCACAGATACAGATACTCAGACTGAAGTCTAAGTATCTGTCAATGTCTCTCTTTGAAAATCTCTGTGAAATTGATTCTTCAAAGTGAGAGAGAAAGTAAGAGATACTACAAAGATTAGTGCAGGAATTGACCACCTTGCTTTAACCTTCTGCAAGTTCGGAATAAAAGATGCTTTGCTACACGGTTCTTCAAATAATGCCTATTTTTTTATTTTTTTTATCGGGTTGTTTGGGCTATTACCCGATGTTTGTAGCACCTGTAGCACTGCGACCTACACAGATCTACTGTGCTCGCCCTTTTCAAAGTTCGCTACCTAGACCCGTCAGGGACAAGAATTGAAGGATATTCTTAGGAGCGATGGTTTTTATCTTCTCGGGAAAGAGTGTAAACTTTCCAAAGGAGATATTTCGTTTACGCATGAGTGGGCTACAGCCACATAGGATGTGAAGCGGCGTTTCCTCTTCAGTTTGGCAGAATCTGCAGATATATTAATAATGCCTAACGCATAAAATTGACTGCGCACAATGATGCGACTGTATCCAATTTAGCAGCGCAATTATGTCAACTGTGTGTAGGCTATACTCGTAATAAACACTTGCATTACAGTATGTACAGTCGGCTAAGTAATTTATTGTATTTATCAAATCAAATGAACATTCATGTAGATTTTTATGATATGTCAAATCTACCGTCAGATCAGAATGATTTCGAGCTAAGAATAGGTGACAAGAAAGTCAGCTCTTATTTTTTTCGAATGAGCTTGTAC